TAGTTTGTTAACATTATTAGTTTATTACTTAGTTTGTTATATAGTATTTATAATATTAATAGTATCCACATTTATAATTAGTAGTACTTTTTACCTGAAATACAGGAATTTCCTAGTTCAGGTACATGTGTTATTTTTACATTAAATCGCATAAGTAGTCTTTAGTTTTCTCTGTACATTATGTTACTGAATAAACAATTTTATTTATTATTATTTATTATTAAGCGACATCTAGCTGCCAAAAAAGAATTCATATAGATAGGTCCACTTTAAATCAAATGTACTGACTCGACCGATGTGCAGTAAAAGATCAAGTACTTTATTATAAAAAATAAAGTAGGTAATTTCTTCTTGAAATATACCACGCGAGAAAGTGGTAAAACTGACAAAAGATTTCCTGATATCAGGGACAGATAGCACGTTTCCCATAAAATAATTTATGTCTGATGTATTAACTTAGTTTTCTTTTATTATGGCTTAGCTTCATGCTTTTTGACCTTACCAGTATATAAAATTATTTCCTCCGTTATGTCACAAATATGTAATAACTCTGTTTAAGACTTTTGTAGTTTATTTTGACATAATAATACACCGAATGTAAAATATAACCCCCAAAATTTCAAACTGGATTATTTTAATTCCATACTTCTTAGAATAGTAACCCCAAAAACCAAATTAGTTCAGGAATTTAAACTTTATATTTTGTCACATACTTTTCGTAAACAGACGCATACAAATTATGTCAATAAAAAGTTATGTGGGAGTTCGCCACTGTTCTTTGACTCTCCTATGCCCTTGTATTTAATTGCAAAGACACGTCTATACGTATTATTTATGTATGACGTTTTATTTATCTTTGCACGAATACTATAAATGTATAATAAGTAGTATTAGCGTTCCAACGGAACTGTACTCTTTGGATCCAGAAGCGCCGTGCGCGCTTAACGAACCGCGGCTAAAGCGTCGTTAGGGTCACTTGTCTAGCCTGACGTTACATTGAACCTGCATACAGGTATTCAATTTTATTTAAAGTTAGAACTTGCCAGTGTTACGAGTGCCTGTAAATTCAAGTGTACAATCGAAACTGTCTAGGCCATTTGTAACTCACGATGAAAAAGTGGTAGTTATAAGTTGGAGGCTCTTATTTGTTTGCATACTTATTTTGTACCCTTGGTGTAAAAGGCATACGTGATCATACGTCACAAGGGTTTTTATATCATGAAAGTCATAAAAATAATACGATCTACGTGGAAAAAATATGTAAGTAAATGGAAAACTCATATTTAAGCGCAAAAGTTATCGACTAATTTCAGAAAAGTTATCTTTCGCGGAGGTGCGATATGTCTGCGGTGTCCAAGCTTTTTTTATGATATCAAGTGATAAGGCGAACAAATTGTTATTGTCACTAAGAGCTTTAAACCGCAAAAATCTGAGAGGCACACCCACTGCGCCTGTCACCATAAGTTAACAAGTCCCATGTGCCTTTTCACCAGCACTCCATCCTTCAAAATCGGATCGCAGCAACGCTGCCATCACCACTTGGCGGCAGAAATAGGTAAGGTAGATGGACTTCCCTGGACGAACTCTTCCAAAAGGACCTCTACTGCTACATAAAGGCATCGTGACTCGAAAATAACTGAATTGTACAGATTATTTTTATATTAGATGGCTTTTTAGGTATGTTGGTTGATAATTCATGCAAGCGACTTCAGTATCTGAATTTCTCAATTATGTATTTGTCAAGGGAACTTAGGCACTATTGTAGCGAGAAACTTTGAGTTTACACTCAACAATATCTCTCGGCGGCATTTGTCACGACTGTAGGTAGTCACAAAAGTCCACAGTTATTTACCAAAATAAATATTAATCCAGATTTTAAGAATTAGTGAAAGAAAGTGTAACACGTACCACGTATAGGTAAGCGGGGTCCGGGTGCTAATGAAGAGTATGCAAGACCATATAAAACCAACATGTAAAAGTATGAGCGAAACACAGCGAAAGCAATAGCAAATCATCAGAAAAAGGCACTATAACAAGTACATTAAAATTTAGAATTTCAATCTAAAACTAAACTGGTGGAAAATATTACATAAAATATGTACAACAAGATTTGCGATTCGTTACACGAGGATATGAATTTTTACTTTAACTTTTTACTACTTCGTTTGAACACAAATACGAACAAAAAGTCGCAAAAAAAATGATACACTAGGCCATATTTCGTCACCCACCCGCAACAAATTCAATTTAATTGCGCAGAAAAGCTTTGAAAATGTATTACCCTCTCTGCAGATAATGAAAAAGTTTTCCAATAATCTTTTAGCTGCCCCTTATCTACTCCATTAGGAGGTAAAAACAAAGCTCATTCAAGGTCTGACGCCTTGAATCATATTAACATGCAAAGATACGTCGTTATGTGAATTATTTGTAACAGAAGTAAAATATTTCATTTATGACAAGTGAAAGTAAAAATCATTTGAAATCAGACAATTTGTTCTCTAGTTTTTTTTAAGGGTCGGTATTATAGTGATTATATCTTCAAAATGACCTGACCAGCATAAGGACTAGATCACAAAACGACCACATATGCAGGAAGACTATAACTCATAATGACATCGTAGCAAAATGACTAGTTATCAAAATTACCATACAGATAAATGGACCACGTGTTGAAACGACAAGGTACAGTTCTTCCAACTGAGCTGAGCTGACTGGACAGAACCAGGGCCGTCGCTCCGATGTGGCAACAGGCACTGGTTCAACCACAACCACACACAACTTGACTTAACTTTGACTTTGCTGGTGACGTATCAAGTTGCTTGTGTCATTACTTTTTACTGTTTTTTAAAGTTTTTATAAAAACAGACATCCAGCACTGTCGTAATTCAAACGTCGCTGTCGTATCTGTACATTTGAATTCTGTTATATTTACCACACGTATAAGTCGGCAGCACATGCGCTTACTCACCATCACGTGCCTCCTGTCAATCCTGCCTTCTAATGACGTGTCTATAAATGTTGAACATCATTCGCAACAGCTGCCGAAACTAGCCTGTTGAGATTAAGTATATAAGTTGGAAAGTAAACAATATAATTAAGTTTGTCAGTGGCCGGTGCGATTTTGTTGGATTGTTGGTTTCTTCTTTTTAGTATTAATTTTTGACATTAATTTTTTAATTAATTGACAATCTTGTTAGTATTAATTTATAGATTTAATATAGCAGTATTTTTGACGGAGCACTCTGTTGATTAGCTGAAGTTTCAAGAGTGTTTAGATTCATCTTCATCATCAACCCATTTATACATCCAACTGCTGGACTAGAGTCGCCTATCAGGCGAGGGTTTAGGCATAGTCCGCCACGCTAGCCCAATGCGGGTTGCGGACTTCACACGTTTTCCGAGGGCTGTGACCTTCACCGAAAACCTCATGGTAAATTTCTAATTAAATTTCGCACATAAATTCCGAAAAACACAGAAGTGCGAGTCCGGATTCGGTAGGTCAAACCATTAAATTACCATACCTTTTTTTAAAATACTTTATTGCAAATGCCTTGTTTGCAAACCATTGATCATGATACATGTAATTTGTCATACTGCTAAAATAACTATTGAAAAAGATATTATAACAAAACTCGTCGCTAGAGGTCCGCGGTTTTACTTGTTATTTATGTAATCTCCAGGTTAGGAGTCAGCAGAGAAATACCTTACTTCTCTGTGGTCTTGAATTTATTATTGCATTAAAAAAGAGTGGAAAGGAGGATATATTCCACGTTCTACTGAGTTACTTTAATTTTATAATATTAATTTTTTCAATATAATTATATCAGTCAGGTTCCAAGGCTTGAGTGAGTGCATAGAGATCACCGAGACAGTACATCACCCACGACGTCAGACGTCACATTTATTACTAATTAACCTAATACCCTCACTACATACTTAATATATGTACTTATCTATTACTAAGCACTAAAATATATGTCACAGTTACTAGTAGTCTATTGGACGGAAGATGGTAACATCGAAATATATAGTGTGCAAAAATTCCGTATTGAAATTTGTAATTTAGACAAGTCACAACACTGCTTCAATTGTGCCTGGCTAATGTGATTTTTTCTTGTTGTTGATTTGTTGTTGTTGTGAGAATAGGAGAACGCTAGATTGATTAAGATGGATCCGCAATTTCAAAAATTCCAAAAAGAACAATAGAAATACGTAATGTATTGATGAAACGAAAGATAATGTAGTGACCAGGATAGGGAGGGGGATCCTCGATGGTTTTGTCTACATTATAGACAAAACTATGTACCACCATCACCATCATTTTGAAATATGTAAGAACGCAGTTATAGTCGCGCTAGAAACCTAGAAACCTGGCTGCTATCGTATGATAACCTTTGCTAGGTACTATTAGTGATGATTTTGAGTGCACGGGTAAGTCAGCGGTCGATCTGTCTGAGGGCCGCTAATTGGACGGCCATACGAAGGTGGCTATCCTCTGGAAAAAAGGAATTTTTATATCGACTTCCATAATAAACTATACCAGTGCACGCTTGACGGCTATTAGGGCAATTACGTGTAATGATAAATACATTATTGTATGCAGTGTTTACATGCCTACCGAAAAACTTAGTAACCTTCACAGATCTGGGTTCAGTACAACAAACCCAAAACCGGTACCGGTAAAGTCTGAGTTTGCCTACAACTGTGTCAGGCTGCAACACTGAGGGAGACATAGCTAACATGTTTATGGGCAAATTTCACGTTCTTCCCCGCTAGCTATGCCACACAGGTCGTTTGATGCTGGGACCGGGAATGGGCGGGAGGTTTTGCATTTTTCGACTAAGCAGGTAGATGAGGTAATAAGAAAAATGACGAGAGGAAAATCTCCAGGTCACGACGCTCTCAGCATCGAGCACCTGAAATGTGCGGGAGTGCATCTTCCCAGAGTGTTGGCTATGTTCTTCTATCTGTGAATTAGGCATTCTCATTTGCCGCCTGAAATGCTTAAAACTATAGTGGTGCCAGTAGTTAAGAATAAAACGGGGGATATTGCCAGTCATGAAAATTACCGTCCGATATCGCTGGCCGTAGTTGTTGCTAAGGTGTTGGACAGTCTGCTGGACAAAGAGCTGGACAAATATTTGGACCTGTACGACGCTCAGTTCGGCTTTAGGCCAGGGCTTTCCACAGAAAGCGCCATATTATGTCTTAAGCAGACTGTCCGATACTACACGGAGAGACGCACGCCGGTGTACGTCTGTTTTCTTGATCTCTCTAAAGCTTTTGAGTTGGTGGTTTATAACATTCTCTGGGACAAGACAGGCATACACAAAGACCTGATAAGTATGCCAAAGTGCTGGTACAAAAACCAGCAAAATAATGTAAGATGAGGAGGGGCTTTCACGGATGCGTACAGGTTGGAGTGTGGGGTGAGACAGGGGGTTTTGACCTCTCCGAAGCTCTTCAACCTGTACGTAAATGAGCTGATCGTTGGACTCAGCAGTAAGCCTGTCAGATGTCGTATCAACGGCATCAGCGTAAATAACATCAGTTATGCCGACGATATGGTGCTGCTGGGTCCAACGGCAGGCTCAATTTCGGAGCTCCTTCGGTTTTGTGAGCAGTATACAAGTACTCACGGCCTTGTATACAATTGTGTCAAGAGTGATTTTATGGTCTTTGGAATCCCCGGTAGAGTGATGTCTTATGAACCTAAAATTAATCTAAATGAGGTGGCTCTAAAGAGGGTAAGCAGATTTAAATATCTAGGACATTACTTGGCGGAGGATCTTAGAGACCAAACTGACATTGATCGTGAACGTAGGGCGTTGACTGCTAGATGTAATATGTTGGCACATAGATTCGCTTGCTGTAGTGAGGAAGCCAAAATAACTTTATTCAAGGCGTATTGTCAATCCTTTTACACGGGTGGTCTATGGGTCTATTAACTATACGCAGTCAGGCACTCGGCGTCCTGTGGGTTCAATATAATAACGGTTTCAGGATACTGTTGGAACTACCGCGACATTATAGCGCATCGTCGATGTTTGCTCAAGCGGGAGTAGACGTCTTTTTTGATGTGATGCGAAAAAAGACGGCGTCACTGTTAGAGAGCAGACTGCGTTGTAGTCCTAACAGCATCTTAAAAACGTTTGCGGCTAAGCTCGATGCGCCCATGCTTCGTCATTTCGTCCAGGTTCTGGTGAGGTAATGGGGCAATCGGCGGTACCTCGAGCGTAATAATGTGTGTTTTTATGTTTTATGTTTTGTCTCTGTGTTTACTAACAATAGTCGTAAGTTTAAAAATGTCTGTATTTTACTATCAAGTGGGTCTTAAATAAATGATTTATTTATTATTATTGTTATAAGATCCCTATAATCTAGACAAAACCATCTCTCCAGCTTACCGCCCACTAGGCAAATAAAAAAATATCTTTAATACAACTTACACATATATATTATACAAATATTTAATAGAGGCTAGTTGTTATATTTGGGTCAAATAAAAACAATTAACTATTGTTCTTATTACCTTAACATCGTTAAAAATAGAAACCTGTAAGTATAATTATATTTAACCACCCCTTTTCTAGACACTTAATAAGTAGACTGTTTTGCGTCGTCTCCTAGATCACAAAACCACAACAAAATAAAGAAAACACAATGTTACACGAACTTATATAGTAGCAGTAGAGCTCCTTGTGAAAAACATGCAATGTGAGCATTATTGTGTTCCGGTTAGGAAGGACAAGGGTGTTGGTGAAATTATAGGCACATGGGACTTGTCAACCTATGTCTCACAGTAACAGGCGCAGTGGCAGTGGCCCTCAGATCTTTGCAAACTTCTGAGTGGCACTGCAACTGCTATAGACTGGCGTGTTGCTTAACACCAGGCGCACGACTTGTTCGTCCCTGTCACTTGGAATCAAAATTTTCTGGAAACAGCTGGTCATTGTAATTCTATCGAGACTCCACTGAGATTGTATATCAATTATGGTAATATTTGTTATCCCGCTAAAATCTACTTGTAATGGCAGTTGCGACTCAATAGAGTGTCAGTGGAATGACAATTAAGATAACAACAAGTTTATTCTGTATAAAATCTTAACCTTAAATTAAACTCGTGAAAATTTTCGTAGTATGAGTTTCTACGACTTTAAGTGTAATTTAACAGCTCAGCGAAGCTTCGCTCGGCTTCAAACTGCTTTTAGCGATGAAGCACCATGCAAGACGACTAATCTATAGCTGGTTTGCAAAATTCAAACGCGGTCGTGTGAATCTCAGTGACGAATTTCGTGACGGTCGCCGTCACTGCTGTGAACAACAAAAACATCGATGCTGTGCGCCGTATGATCAAAACAGACAGGCATGGACATACCACGAGATTCGGGCATCTTTAGGCATAGGTACTTATGAGTCAAATAAAATCAATACTATTGTGTAGTATTGATTTGAGTGTGAAAAAGCTGTGCTCTCGGTGGATTCCACACAATTTGACTGAGGCTCAAAAAACGGATCGCGTCACTTGGTGCAATGCCATGCTTACCAGGTTCAACGAGGGGGCGTCAAATTTGGTATGGGATATAGTAACAGGTGACGAAACATGAATTTATAGTTACGATTCCAAAACAAAGCAGTAATCGAGCGTATATCATTGTACCGTGAATAGTAATTGGTACACGACCATTAGTTTGCCGAAAGCTATAAATAAACTCCGTAAAAGTAACCGAAAACGCCGAATCATCTTGCACCACGATAATGCGAGTTCTCACACGGCCAGAAAGACAAATGAATTTTCGAAGGTGAACAACGTTGACCTTATGCGCCATCCCGCGTACAGTCCTGACCTGGCACCTTGTGACTTTTATTTATTTCCAAAAATTAAGAACCAGTTTACGCGGTCAACGATTTTCATCACCTGAAGGGGCTATCGAAGAGTATGAAAAATATGTTTCAAAGGTTGTCACGGAGGAGTGGCAAAAATGTTTTCAAAATTGGTTCATTAGTATGACAAAGTGCATTAACGTTAATGGAGAATATTTTGAGAAACATTAAATGATTATAGGTAAATGCTTAGTCAACATATTTTGTAAATTTTTATTTATTTTATTTATCAAGGCTTATCTACTAAATACGTACAGATACGTTAAATATAAAAACAAAACATTTAAATTAGTACTATGCATACATTTAAATTAAGGGTATGCATTGCATCACGTAAAGGTATTATTTTGGAAGCACGAGAGTATGACCATCTGTCTATTCGTCTTAATCGCTTCCTCACTGCAGAGCGTCGTGACTCCACTTCATCCTGCCAACCATTTGCCTACATCGGTTGCGCTCATTTGCATAATGCAGTGCCGCGCTGAGAGGTATCTCCAGTTGCTCAGAGATCTGATCCGACCGCCTTTTGGGACTCCTGCCCCTAGGTCGCTTTCCCTCCACCTTCCCTGTCAGCATCAAATGTCCCAGGTTATCAGCATCTCTACGTGTCACGTGACCAAAATAGCGTATCACACGTTGCAAGCAAGTTAAAGACAGACGCAGTGCATTCTTTATCTTGACTTCTTCAAGTACATTGGTGCGGAGAGCTGTCCACGATACCCTTAATGTTCTGCGCCAGCACCACATTTCAAAGGCGCCAATAAAATAAAATACTAATAAATATATGCTGCTTGTGTCATAATCCCTAAAAATGAAAAATACAATGTTATTCTTAATTAACCCGCAAATTCTTAAAATTACGTTCCATAATTGTAAGTGTAGCTCTTCACGTTTGGAAACGTATTAAATATTCTCAGAATGCGTAAAAAAACAAACTATTGTTAAATATTGTTATCCGAAGTTTTTAAAGGGAAAACAAAAGGTTTTTTATTAAGACGTTCTGGCTTAATTAAAAGTAATCCCGTATAAACAAGGATCCTTAACAGGATTTGAAAACCCTTATAAGATACGATCACCCCATGAAAGTATTCTGTGGATCGATTCGAAGGATAAGTTGTAGGCCGGGCAGCACACGCCTTGACCGCATCTATATACCCAAGAGCTCTCTAAGGATATGCTATCCTCGGATGGAATTCGCAATTTTCACAACGCCTCGGATAGATTTCCCCGCTGCATTCGCGGGTATAACTTCGAAAGTTGGTATAATTTTATTTAATATTGCTTCAAAAATGTTTTGAGAAACAGCGAAGTTTCCGGAGGAGTTCATATAAGTTTTGGGACTCAATAAGCTGTGTTTTGGTATACATATGTTTTAGTTTATATCTAAACAGTGTTCATAGAACATTTATAAACACGATCTGGTAGTCCTTTTGTGCAATGTTCTCATTTTACTATGAGTGAAATGACAAAAGTTTGTAATGATTTAAATAATAGAGAGAAAATAGAAAGTGATATACATATTGTATTGTACATACTTTAATAATATTATCATTTGTACCTATAATCACAACAAAATCACATTAACAAAATTGATCTCAAATTCCGTGTCTAGTAATATATCTTTTAAGTTCCCCATGCATCATTGTCACCTACAGCTCTACCAAATCCCGCTATCTTTCTTTTACACTCGAAGCATTCTCGTTTATCTTCAGAGTTTCGAATAACTATTTCAGAATGCTGCAATTTTTAATGAAACAATGCCAAAGGCGACGTGAATTTTCTTATGTTATTTTTTACATTCTTATTTTTCGTTCGAGTTCTTTAGTCTTGAGTCTCTTTTATGACTCGTAAAGGTTGAAAAGGTTAACGGCGCAGGGTAACCCTGTACGTTAATCTACATATACGTAATGTGCAGTTCACAATAGAGTTTACTAATTGTTTCACATTCTTTAATATCAAAATAAGATGAAATGACATCTTGTGACGGTACTTGTATTTTGTATGATAACAAGTGTCGGGACGAACAAATAGTTCGCCTGGTGGTAAGCGACATATCTACCAATAACTGTTGCCCTGCCACTCAATGCATTAATGAAAATTTGAGTGGTACTGCCAATGCGCCCGTTACCTTGAGACATAAAGTTGACAAGTTTCATATACCTGTATTTTCACCAGCACACTTAAACCGGAACGTAGTAATATTGACATACTTGGTGGTATACACTACACTATACTTGGTGATATACAAACACTTACAGAATATCCCTGGACGAACTCATTCACGAGGAGTTTCTAAATGCAAGGAATGACAGATCAGATTATTTGTATTCTTCTAATTGTATGATGGCATACACTACACTGTAGTGGCCTAGAACCATCCGAAAATCCCCATCTGAACAAATTGTCCTTACTCTTACTTTCAGATTGGTCATTCGTGTCCAGGAAGACTTTTAGAAGGCGGGACAAAGATTGCACCTCGCCTGAGCTGGCTCAATGCTCAGAGGAT